ACGTAGTATAGAGAAGTAAGGTCGTCTCCTCAGGGAACGATGGATTATTTCCTTCAAATTAATGCAAAGATGGATATTTGGATTGTTGTTCTAAATCTAGGATAATGGAAAACTCAAATAACAGAAAATTAATAAAAGAAAAGAAAATCAAAGTAACAGACTTCTGACTTAAGGGATAGATAACTCAATTATTTCATTAATCACAAGCTACTAAAACTACTCTTGCAATTTAAGCATTGAACCAAAGATCTATTAGGATAACCGTAATAAATCAATCAATCTCCCTAAATAAACTAGCCAAGCCTAGCACTCAATTAGTCCTTATCATAATTCGACTGGGCACAATAGCGTTCCATACCAAACAATGACACCATAAATACCAAGGAAATATAGTTGAACCAAAATCTAAACAATTGAGATAGCTACAACTATTTAGACTTTGCCTCATTGATTCCACATTTAAACTAACATGCATATTCAATGTCTCACCACTATACATGCTTTGTCTAATTGCTACTCAGTACTGCCGGTTCTTGTCTATTACGTAACATTCAACTAGCAGATAGCACTAGAAAATAAATAACAAATCAAGTTGTCAATTTGAATGATATTAACTTTCATAACTCAATACAAGAATCAATAAATACTTAAATTATAGGCAAGAACAATAAATTAAGAAAAAAACCTCATAATGGAACAACTGAAAAAATCCCTTGAATCAGAAAGAAAATTCTTAGCCACTCATAGTTGGAAGTATGACGGCTTTATTCTCCATGGAAATTCAAGAAAAATTGGAAGAAATAAAAGGTTTGAGGTGCTAGCCTTTGGCCTATGCACGGCTGCTCTTTTTACAAAACTAAGAATCCTTTTTATAATAGAAATTTAGGTCAGCCGCTGGAAAAGAAAAACAGGTCCACGATTTGCAATTTTGGTCTCTCAAGTTTGTAGTATTTTCACTTTTATCCCAAAACTTCTTTAATTTTGCATTTAAGTCCCTGATCGTGCAAATTATCCCAAATCAGCTCCAATCTCTTATTTCTAGCTCCTAACAAGAAATAATAACAAAACCAATGAATTAAATCCATCCGAATCCATAAACTAATAAAATATCAACAATTAAAACACAATTTATGGACTCTATCACACTAAGAAGCATTGAATTTGTCCTGTTGATTGTCAATCCCAGTGTAGAAGTATGCTTAAGATACCAAAGAATTCTCTTACGGCTGTCCAATGAACATCAGTAGGAGCTTGTAGAAACTGACAAATTTTATTCACAGAGTAAGATATATCGGGCCACGTGAGAGTTAAATACTGAAGTCCACCTACCACACTTCTGTAACAAGAGATTTCAGCGGGCGAAAGTGGATCTCCGATTAATCTCGATAATTTCTCTGTTGCTGCCATAGGAGTAGATATTGATTTACAATTAACCATATTTGTTCGAGCAAGTAGATCACTGATGTACCTTTGTTGTGTCAAGATAATTCCTTCTTCAATAGGATTCACTTCAATGCCTAAAAAATAATTCAATTCTCCCAAATCTTTAATAGCAAAATCTTGTTGCAATTGCTGCATAAGCTTGTTAGTAGCCTCAATGGAGGAGCTTGCAATAATTATATCATCAACACATATAAGCATGTAAATGGTAATTGAACCACGATTATATATGAACAAAGATGTATCAGCTTTAGAAGGAAAGAATCCTAATTCCTGCAACTTTGAGCTCATGCGAGAATACCATGCTCTTGGCGCCTGTTTCAGTCCATATAGAGCCTTATCTAGCTAGCAAATATAGTGTGGAAACCGTACATCCTCATATGCTGGTGGTTGTCTCATATATACATCTTCATTGAGAACACCATGTAGAAAAGCATTTTGAATGTCAACCTGCTTTAGATTCCAACCACGTGAGATAGGTAAAGATAAAATAAGGCGAACAGTAGTAGGTTTTACCACAAGACTGAAATTATCTTCATAATCAATTCCATATCTTTGCTTGAACCCTTTTGCCACAAGCCGCGCTTTGTGTCGATCAATTGTCCCATCAGCCTTCTTTTTAAGTTTGAATACCCATTTGCAGTCAACAATATTCAAACCTTGTTGAGGAGGGACCAAATGCCAAGTCTTGTTCTTCATTAAAGCATTATATTCGGTGTCCATCGCTTGTTTCCAACTTGGATCTTGAATAGCTACAAGATGAGAAGAGGGCCCTTCAATGACAGAAAGAGCAAAGGTTGTCCCATCGGCAAATTCTTTCGGCTTATGGATATTATCTTGTAGCCTTGTTCTCATGGGATGAGTATTTGAAGTCTCCCTGTCTGCAAGAACAGAATCAGATGACAATAATACTTGCTCATCAATTTCATGCTGATCACTCAAGTTGATTTGGTCAGGATTATTGGGTTCAGTGGTCTCATGATGAGATTGATTATGGTTCAATGGTTCAGGCATAGAAAGTGGCAGAGGTAGAGATATGGGGCTGTTAGTTGGCTGAGAGGATTTTCCTACATGTTCAAATTTCTCTGCAAAAGGAAATACAAGTTCATCAAAAATAACATCACGTGAAATATAGACACGACCAGTTGACATATGAAGACATTTGCAACCCTTGTGATTAGAACTATAACCAATGAAGACACATTAAATAGACCTGAAGGAGAGCTTTTGGGAGTTATACGGTCTCAAGTGAGGCCAACAAGCACAGCCAAAAATTTTGAGAAGAGAGTAGTTAGGTTTTGTACCAAAAAGACGCTCAAGAGGAGTTTCATTATTGATAACCTGACTTGTTAAACGATTAATAAGATAGCATGCTGTACTAAAAGCTTCATCCCAAAATTTGACAGGTATAGAAGCTTGAGCTAAAAGGGATAAACCAACTTCGACTATGTGCCTATGCTTTCTTTCAGCTGAGCCATTTTGTTAGTGTGTATATGGACATGAAACTCTATGTTCGATACCGGAATTAGAAAATACCTTGTAAAGCTTTTGATATTCGCCTCCCCAATCAGTTTGCATGGCTTTAATTTTCCTTCCAAGTAAACGTTCAACATGATTTTGAAATTGTAAGAACACCCGTTCAACATCAGATTTGCAAGTTAAAGGATAAAGCCATGTAAACTTACTGAAATCATCAATGAAACTGACATAATATTTGAAACCTCCTATAGATTTAGGAGTTGGTCCCCAAACATCTTAAAAAACTAGTTCTAAAGGAAACAAAGAAAGATGTCTAGAATTGGAATAAGGTAACTGATGGCTTTTAGCCTGTTGACAGGCATCGCAGACTAGCAACTCTTTATTTGTGGAAAAAGGGAGATTATTTGAACGGATAATAAATCGAACTACTGAACTGGAGGGATAACCAAGTCTCCTATGCCATTGGTCTTGAGTAATTTTCTCAGTGAGCCAGTTTAGAGTTGGCAAGGTTGCCAGGATTGATTGGATATAAGCCTTCTTCACATTTGCCTTGGAGGATTTTTCTCCTCGTAACCTGATCCTTAACAAGAAAATATTCCGGGTGAAATTCAAAAAAGATATTATTATCTCTAGTAAGTTTATTGACAGAGATGAGGTTTCGAGTGATTTTTGGAACATGTAAGACATTTTTGAGTATTAGGGATTTTGTGGGGGTGGGAATTTTTGAGTGACCAACATGAAAATTGACAAACCTGCACCATTGCCAACCTACACTTGTTCTCCACCATTATACTTTTCTTTCACTGTAAGCCTGTCAAGATCACTAGTAATGTGATCAGTAGAACCAGAATCATTGTACCAGTTTGGATCGATCTGATATGACGGAGTTGTAGCTAATGCAGCAAAATGATTCTCTTCAGATTGATAAGAATGATCAAAATGATGGAAGCATTTTAGGGCCCTGTGTCCAGGTTTTCCACATACCTAACAAATTACTTTTGCTTTCCCTCCATTTGGTGAAAAATTAAAATTACCTTCTTGAGAGTTAGTTCCTCCATTTGAGTTTGTTCCTCGCCCAGGATTTGTTCTTCCACGTCCTCGGCCTCTTCCTCTTTGGCCAAAACCTCCCCGACTGTTTTGTGTAGCGATATTGGCTGTAGACCTAGTAACATTGACCTAAAAACCAGTGTTATGTTGTTCCATACGTAGCTCATAGCTTAACAAATGAGCATACAAATCATTGAGAGTGATAGGTTCCGTCCTAGTAGAAATAGACGTCACAAGAGGATCATATTCTAATCCTAATCCTGCAAGCAAATAAGAAATGATCTCTTCTTCCTGTAGAGGCTGTCCAATAGTTGACAAAGTATCTCCTAGGTTTTTGACTCTATGGAAATAATCCGAAGCGAAAAGGTCTTTCTTCTGCAAGGTAGAAAGTTGAAGATGAATCTGCATCACTCTGGCTTTGGAACGCGAGGAGAACATGCGTTCAAGGGCTGTCCAGACTTCAAAAGATGAGGAAAGAAAACAAGACATGAGAGAGAACTTCTTCAGAGAGTGATGACAAAATTGCACTAAGAACTAATTGATCTTGCTGAAACCAGGCTTGATAAGCTGGATTTGGAGCTTGAGTAGCATCTGCTGGTGTTGCTGTAGTAATTGTTTTTGGTGGACAAGCAATGGTGCCATTAACATATCCAAGAAGTTGATGACTTCTTAGAAAGGGCATTAATTGTGCATTCCAAAGTAGATAATTATCACGAGTGAGTTTTACTGTGATTAGGTGATTGAAGGATGGTGTAGGCCAACAGAAGTAGAGGAAAGAGGAGCAATAGTGGAAGAGGTATTAGAACTAGAAGAAGACATGATTTTGGCCTTCTTTAATGGTGGCTCGGGTACCATATAAAGAAAATAAAGAAAAGAAGAAAGAAAGATTATGTTTTGCCACACTGAAGGATCAGAGGGCAGCTTCTCTATTTATAATAGAAGTCTGTTACATGATACGAGAAAAATCAGCCATGTTATTGCTGCTCACAGATATAGTTTTGACTAACAAGAGTCCTAAAATAACTCATAAAGAGCTAGTCAACAATGTTAATCTAGTAAACTAGAAGTAAAACTAAAGTAAAATTAACTATTTTTAACAGGAATAAGGATTGGTGTAAAAAATAAAAAGTAAAAAAATAAAAAATCAAAATCAAAAGATGCACTGCAATTACAAAATCTGAATCTACAACCTAAAAGGAGTCAAGAGAACAAATTGGAGCATAACCAACTAACTTGACTCAGGACAGAGATTTAGATGATGCCATGGTTCTCTTCACTCACAAACCCCCTTTTTGAAAATCGGAATCAGAGAACAAACTGTTTGAATCACAGTGAGAATAAGTATCAAAGCTCCTCCAACAACACCGATGATGGACCAGGGACTGTGGAAATAATCGCGTCGCAATATAGCGAGCCATTTGGTTGTATTGGAGTTGAGCCTGTGCCAAATCGTGCGTCTGTATTTGTTGAGATCACGAACCTCCTCGGCAAAATCAAACTCCATTGGATCAGTTAAGAACTCTTTGTACAGGTTGTTGAATAGATCCGCCACCTGTTGGTTGGTGCCAAGCTCATTCTTGAAGATCTTATGTTTGACAAGGATTTCAACATCCTTGGGAGTGTCTATCAGGTTGTCCAACAGGATGACAGAGTTTGATATAAACTTTGTCGAACTGTTTCCAGACTGTTCAAAGGCTACCATGTTTCGGAAAAAAGTCTCGGTCAGATCATTCACAACAAGTCTCGGGATTGTGAGTATTCCCTTGTCATTGTCAAATCCGATACACAGTCGCTTCTTTCCTTTCCCGTACCGGAATTTGACTCCGGCTGCATTTAGCTCGGTCGCGGTTGGACATTTTATCAAATCCGTCTTCTCATCAACTTGCTGAGTGATTTGATCAAATGAAGGTCGATCCCTGTTTTGATCTTCGTATCGCTGGTGCAGGACAAACAAGAACTCGAGTAGATGCCTGGTGGGGCGAAAATCGGCATTTGCCAACAGTACTTTCCCAGTGTTGCCAACGTTGCTGAAGTACTTGTGAGCAAGTTCCTCGAAAGATGGAGGATGATGTAGAAGCACATCATCATCTAAGCTTTTCCTCAGATTATTATAATTCTTAACCGAAACAAAAGTGTTGAACAATGTGGCGAGGAATCTGAAAGGGAGTTGGTTTTCAAACAACAGGAGGTCATGCAACACATCATTTGACACCCATGGATTATCAAATATGAAGTCCCCCTTCTCCCTCATCCCAATGAAATGGTTCTTCAAGAAAAGCTCAACAATGAAAGCTCCATCTGTAAAGATGATCTCATGGAGGTTCTTTTCTGGCTGATTCAAAGCTTTCACCACATGGATTGGGTAACAATTGCACACCAGCTGGAGCTGATTGCTCACTTGTTCGGGCAGCTTGTCCCAGGTAACTCCGAATCTACGCGAGAAATGGGAAGCATACTCCATCTTGTTGTCTTCCATCCCCTGAAGTTGGCTTTCGCCGTAATGGAGTAGACCTATTGACACCAGCCGGGGCGTGTAGGCATCCAGGTTCTTGCTACGATGTTTTTTGGGTACTTCGTAGATGCGTACTGTGCCCCGACTGGAACTACCACCTCGAGCGTCTTTCCCCGACGGCTTCTCAGAGATGGAATATGCCTCCTCCTTTTCTGCATAATTCATTCCTGCTTGTATATGTGTGTGTGTGTGTGTGTGTGTGTGTGTGTGCAGATTTCTTTTGCTGTATAGTGAGATATAAAGGGAATTAATGTGTTTTAGTTGATCAACAAGTTGAATGCTGTAATTTTGAACATTTATTTGTCAGCAAGTTCCTAATATATTCTCATCATCATGTGTAAAAAAGGAAAGGAAGAACTTCCAAGTCCTTAACCGTCTCTTTCTTTTCCATTTTTTAAGTTCCTTTCCATCATGTGTATATATGCCTTGTAGCTCTTTATCTAAAGAAACTAAAGGAACATTTTTCTTTCCTCTATATGCCTCGTACACTACAATACTTTTCTTTTCGTTTTTTATGTTTCCCTTTTAATTATCTTATTGAAAGAAACTAAAGGAATGAAGGCATAACTTGTGCCTAACTTCTTCTTTTAATACCCAAATTATGCATTTAACTTAAGATTTTATATGTTGCCACACCAAAGTATACTTTGACTTTTCTGTTAACCAATGTTTAATGTTCAACATGAAATAAGGATCTTCTATACCATAATTCTATACCTCATGAGCTATACCACATATCATACCATGTCTCCTGATTGCTTCTTTTTTATCACCAACAAAATTGTAGAAGATAAAGTGAGGAATAAGTGATGACTCCCACGCTGCTTCTTTCTTTTACATTTCCCTTTAGTAAAACTATGTAAAGAATATATACACGACTTCTTTTGTCTCAGAAAATTAGTACACGCTGTAAATTAACATGCTATTATAATTTATAATACGAACTGTTTTTATGGGACGGGGGAGTACATAATAGTGAGAAAAACTTTAATGTTCCATGACGAGTACATAATGGTTAGAACAACTATAATGCTCCGTGACTAAATCAATGGATTGATCGGATTTGAATTTCATTCACGTGCTAATTACAGAGTATATATAAGAACATTGGATCATTAACTGAATAATTCAGTCGACAAGCTACAAATTTGAATTAAAACTGGTTTAATTAATGCCTTGTAAGATTAGAGAGAGTAGCATCACAGATAACAGAGAGGAAAAGGAGAAAAACCACTCAGCATCTCAGCTGCTTCAATTTGCTTTGTTCTTTTACAGCTAATAAACTATATTAATCAATGAAAAGATTATTAGTTTATTGTGGGGTGGAGAATCAGCTAACTTAGGCCGTACTTAAAGCAGTTTTACTAGTGCTAATATAATTCAAGATTAAGATAATACTACCAATAAACTCAATTATGCATGAGCCACCACTTGATGATGAACTATGAACACAGGATATGCATGCCACCAATTGATTCTAACTGCGAGGAAGAACTAATCGACAGACTGTATCAACTTGGACAATGCATGCCTGAGGCAGAGAGGAGGAGGAAGGAGGAAAAGGCTAAAGAATGGATCAGAGATTTCATGAGCAAAAGTGACACGGTGGAAGATAGGTGGGATGATTACAGAGCATTAACCAATGTGCATCATCACAGATCACTCATCTCGTCCATTGATCGTGAGGAAGATTGGCTGGAACAGCTTGAAGGGCAGGATGAAGAAGCCCAAAATGGTAATCAACTGATCAATCAGGTGTGTCTTGCTGCTCAATCTGTTCGGTCCTGCTTTATTAGGTTGTCAACTGTTTGTCAGTATCATCGAAACAGAAAAAAGTTGAATGTGGAGTTAGATAACCTTTTCCAAGATGCATCAAAGTCTAATTTTTTCCCAGATAATGGCGTTGTTAGTTATAAAAAGAATAATGATGATAATAGTCTGGTGCCCCGGAGAAAGTTCATATTGGAACAGGATGATGAAGACGAGGTTTTCAAGACAATACTCCAACAAATGATCCCGGAGAACAATGGCGTATTGTTTGATGATAAACAAACCGAGGTTATCTTCATAGTAGGGGAAGACGGTTCCGGGAAGACCTCATTGGCTACACGACTCTTTAATTGCAAAAAAGTGGAGCAGTATTTTCAAGTAAGGTATTGGGCGGCAATACCGGACACTGTCCGGCAGCTCAAGAAGGAAGCCGCATCATTTGGTGTAACCACTCTTTCTGATGATGACCTGTGGTCGTTGTGGTGGTCAGAAAACTTTACGAGGGAAAGATTCTTGCTGGTTCTGGATGATGTTCCGTTTGACGAAGAAGAGGATGCTATTGCTAGCTGGTTCTGGGGACCATTTGCAAGTTACCTGATCGAGCATGGTGCCCCTGGAAGCATAATTCTAGTGACAACAAACAGTGACAAGATCGTCCAAGCCATGGGCGTTAAGCACAAGCATAATCCAGACTTCTTGCCAACCCAAGACAGCAGATGGTCATTTCTGAAACGGGTGTTGGAAAACATGTTTTCCAGGAAAGGGTGGTCCGGGTTTCTTGACAACGTGGAGTCCATTGGGAAGGAAATCGCAGAAAAATGTAGCGGTTTTCCTTTCAATTTGAAGATAATTGGAAGCCATCTACAGTTCAAAGACTCGGTGGAAGAATGGCAGCAAGTTTTGGACAGCGAGATATGGGAAGAGGACGACGTTAAGAAATTTGGTTACGCTCCAATCTACATCAGTTACCAGGACTTATCCTTACCGCTACAGCGTTGCTTCCTGTACCTGGTTGCCGCCTTCCCGGTTGACACCGTCATCAAAGTTGACAACATTATTAGGATATGGATGGCGGTAGGCCGTCTTGGTCTTCCCCCAGGACCGGATGGAGAAGCCAAGTGTATGGAATACTTCAACCAGTTGATGAACCGTTGTTTTTTCCATAACCTGGTTCAAGGTTCGGTTCATAAGGATGAGATCATCAGTTTCCAGATAGATTTCAGAGTTCATGAATTTGGGAAATGGCTACTGAAAAATAAAAGTAAACCCAATGACAAGCTACCCCCCAAAAACAATTTCCTCATAGCTAACAGGCATCATTCTTCTAGGGAGCCTGGTTTCTTCATTTCTCTTCCTCCTGTAGAGAAGAAGGATAATAAGAAGCCTAAAGTAGATCTGAAACATGTCAGAGCATTGGATTTGTCTGGTTCCCAGCTAACACGTCTCCCCAAGGCATTTGCAAATTGCATCATTCTGCAGTACTTGAATTTGAGCGGCAACCCCTTAAAGCGATTGCCGGACATGATATGTGATCTGCAATATCTAGAATCCCTCGACATCCATTGTTGTAATCTATTGATGTTCCTTCCTCACAGGTTTGGAGGACTTCAAAAAAGCCTGAGACACCTGAGAATTGATCACACAACAGATAAGCTACAACGAAGGCTACAAGTGGTTGACAAGCTGAGTAACATTCGGACCTTGGATGTATTCAGGGCGGGTGGTAAATACAACAAATTCGCAGTGCTGGAAAATTTGAATTTACTTGAAGAAATCTGCATTGTCATTCATGGGAAAGTCGAATGGAAGAAAGCAAATTTGGACGGGAAAAGAAACATGAAAAGCTTGGGGCTATGTTTTGCAGGGGAAGGTCGTGATTCTGAAGTGTTGAAATCAATCGGCAACATCGAGCCACCTCCAGAATTAGAAATGCTCAAGTTGGAAGGTTATCCTGCACACCAACTCCCAAAAGGAATACTGGCAAAATCCCTCAAGGACAAGTTAAGAAGGTTGACCATAAGGTCGGCTTCGAATCTCTTGTCGTTGCCTGCATTTTGGAAGATGTCATCTCTCGAGTTTCTTTGGCTTTATGACATCCCAAAACTGAACTTAGGCTGGGAGTTCTTTGGGCTCCCAAAAAAGAAAAACGAAGAGCCGCCTGTCAAAGAGGAAGTTTTAGCATTCCCCAGTTTGAAGGCATTAAGGATCGAATATCTAAGGAGCTGGGAAACTTCGGAAGATGTAAGTGAAGTTGATGAGAAGAAACTCAGCAAAATACCAGTGATGCCACATCTGGAGGAGGTTATTGTTTCCGGATGTCCAAAAGCTAAGGTTCTGCCCCATCACATGTATGAGAAGTTGAAGACTTGCCTATCTCAACCTCTCAAAGAGCTGCAGTTTGAAAAGAGGTACAAATTTTACTTTCAACTGCACCAATTTTGGTGAATATATTTTTTTTTTTCAACACTAGTCGCTTAAGCAACTGTTACTATATTTTAGGCCATTATAATAACATAGTTTTGCTCTTTCCTTTTGTGCATTAATATCCTTGGACAGAGAGGTCGGAGAGTCAAGCCAAAGCCATGTTGGGGGAAGGCAGGGAGAGCTTGAATGAACTTTGAAGAGCCACAAAAGTTGGGCTAACCATGCTTCCTGTGATATGCAGTCCATAATCTAAATTCTTGTTTGATTCATTTCCGATTCCACTTTGTGTGGGTCTATGTGTGTTTGTAATCTAAATTTCTGGTTTGATTTGATTTGAACAAGTCATTAAAAAAAATGCAGTTGTATCCTCGTTTCGATATTGTTATTTGGAACAACATGTTTTATTATGACTTACTATATATCAATCAGTCTTTTCTTTTCTGTTATAGAGCTGTTCTTTAAATGATTTTTGATATTTAATTTTTGTTTTCCTAACAAAAGTTTATGATGATCAAGGTCATGAGAGGACCTCAGATTAATCGGAAGCAAACATAGAATCAAATATAGCTCCTAAAGATTGATGCCACTCCAATTATCTAATTGCATAATATATATTTTTTTTGAATCGGTACCTATATTAATTAAACAATACCCAAATTATTACATTGCATTCTAGCATACGCTAAATTATGTATATCCCGAATATCGAATCTACTGGCTTTAATCAGATAGCAGTATTGAAAACGTGAAATTAAATCATGAAGAGCACATCCCTTTTACCCTATTAAAGTAGAATACAGGATGTTGATGTGGCAACTTTTTATTAAAATTTTTTGGCTCCAAATGCACCATATTGCATTGATCATTCTGCCACGTGTCATCCCCTTTTTAAAAGAAAAAAATCTTATCCAGAGAAACAAAAGTTACTTTACAAAAATAGTTAGACAATTTTAACTCCTAACATTTATCATTTATCAATCAAATTAAAATAGCATTTAAATTTGTCCATAAATTTATCCCCTTTATTACTCCACATTCTTTTGTATGATTTCTGCATCGTTGTATTTTTCATTATTTTTTTTCCTTTGACAGATGATTTTTTATTTTTATTTTTATTTTTGGCTAAAAAAAGAAAAAAAACCAAATGTGTAACTATTTTATTTTTTCCACATCAAAAATTTATTTATCTATTAACATAAATTTAAAGTAGAGGGGCGCCCAGGCAGATCTAGTACTACTTAATGTAGATTAGTTAAGATTGCACATATATGTAAACCAAAAAAAAAAAAGAGAGAAAAAGAGATTTTTACTATGCATAGCTTTACTGAAGTTGCACGAGTTAGTTGCTAGTAATTTAAGCCAGTTTCATTTCTCAACTACAGAATTTGAAGCTACCACATGTTGATATGAAGAAGAAAATAACATCACATAATGCCTAAAAGAATTAAAAATATTAGTTTCACATTCGAAAATTTCAAATAAGGAATTTATGAATTCAATGAGAACGAAGGAATGCATTTTACCTCAAAGAACCACGGCACATGAACCAAGTTCAGGCGGCGGATCGGAACTGTGTTGGAGCTCGGGGGGCTCAAGCCCCCCCGGCCGGCCGGCCAGAGAGAGCCAAGTTGACCTCTGGCCGGCGCCGCTGGTAGTTCCGTTTACCTTCTCTTAGCGCCTCGACGACGATAAAGAGAGTTTATTAGTTTTGAAATTTGACGGTGATGGCGGGCGGCAGACGAATCGGAGGAGGCGAGGAAGAATAAAGATTTCAAAATTAATCCCATACTTTAGCTGTATAATAAATACTTAGCCGTGGTTTTTCTTTTAGAACTTTCACCCCCTTAACTTTCTGAATAATAAGAAATAGACCCTACATCCAAATATTTTGGTGCATGCTAGGACAATACAGTTTGAGAAAATTACTTTATTCCTATTAACTATTAAATCAAAAAAGATATTATAGTCTGCCCTAAATGAGTTTTAGGTTTTTATTTATTTAACAGTATAGAGTTCACACCCCTTATTGTGAATATTATGTAGAATAATAAGATAAAAATGTTTCAATAATTTTTTTTTGGATAAATCAACATTATTTGTTTATTATCTAATATAACAAAGAATTCTTTTTAATAGAGAGAAAGCTCCCCCATATATCAAAACCTAGTTATAGAGCATTGATACAGGAATTTTGACTCCTCTTCCACATTAATTCTTCTAGCTTCATTCTTTATCAATGCATTTCTTCAAAAATAAAATAATAAAAAAAGAAGAAAACCAAACAAATGAATTCCATTCCAAATTCCAATTAAGCTAGATCATTATCAATATCATCATACAGTATATACTTGGTATAAAAATGACGCATACCTTCTTTCAGGTAATATTATAGACCCTGATAAAAATTTATCTAGTCTACCTACATTATTGCTATCTTAATATTGAGTTCTACTTGTTTGATAAATCCCCATATGTTCGAGGAGACAAAGTTTGTTTGTACGTTCGTCCCATTTTAACAATTTATGAGGAACTATAATGCTAAAATCAAGTGGAGTGTTAAATAGAATAAAATTTATAAATATAAACTGAAGCAGAAAGTTATAAAATTGAGAGAAAGAACAAGTAGAGAGAGCGAACAATGGACTTTTAGTTCACAAGATTTGCCATCATTCATAAGTCCCTTTTAGTTCACAAGATTTTATTCTAAAAGGGACTTGACATGGGTATTTTGTCAAGTGATGGTATTTTAGTTCACAAGATTGGAATGCTGCGGACATTTTATTCACAAGTCCCTTTTAGTTCACTTGACGAACGTACAAATAAAATCCCTGTTGAACGATGATACTTTATTCAATTAACTGCAGACATTTTATTCTATTGTAGACATTTTACTATTCAGAAAGTTATAAATATTTCACAGAGAGGACGACAATAAAATGTCAAGTGATGTGCTCAATAGGGGGACTTCATCCACATTGTACTCTTTTTCTCTTGATCGAGATTTTGTCCCAATGGATTTTCCTGACAAAGTTTTTAACGAGACAGCGTCGTATTTGGAAATGTACTCTTTTTCCTTTATTAGATTTTTGTCCCACTGAGATTTTTCTAGTAAAGGTTTTAACGAGACATTATTCCAAGAAATGGACATCCAAGGGGGAATGTTATAATTATCGGATAATGTGGATGTCCACAAGCTAGTAAAGTTGTATAGGAATTTTTTGTATAAAGATCATATTTATTACTCCCTCCGTCCCATAATTATTGTCCAGTTTGAGTTTTCATTTCTAGTTCAAATTATACTAAAAGTGAAATCTCAAACTGGACAATAATTTTAGGACAGAGGGAGTAGATCTTATCATCAGTAAAATGTTATCTCTATTTACTCTTATCTCTATATTTTTTATGCTTATAAAAGAAGAGTAGTCTCTGCAGAAATAATACATAGATCATTCTTTCTTTCGTCCTCTCTGTTGTTCGCTCTCTCTACTTGTTCTTTCTCTCAGTTTTATAACTTTCTGCTTCAGTTTATATTTATAAATTTTATTCTATTTAACACTCCACTTGATTTTAGCATTATAGTTCCTCATAAATTGTTAAAATGGGACGAATGTACAAACAAACTTTGTTTATATTTATTGCCTCTTCTTTTATAAGCATAGCAAATATAGAGATAAGAGTAAATAGAGATAACCCCCTGTGAATAGTAAAATGTCTACAATAGAATAAAATGTCTGCAGTTAATTGAATAAAGTATCATCGTTCAACAGGGATTTTATTCTATTAGAAAGAAAGATCGGTTTCTAAAATCCCTTGTTGTCTTACAATATTTTGGAAGATGGAAGGGAAATATAGATGGTACCATCACTATATTTCCATATATTGATGGTACCGTATATTTCCATCTACAAGATGTTACATAGATGGTACCATATTTCATCCCTTTATAGATGTCTGCAGTTTAGAATAAAATGTCCGCCGCATTCCAATCTTGTGAATAAAATCTAAAAGGGACTTTTAGTTCACAAGATTTGCCATCACTTGACAAGGGACTTTTATAAAAGAAGAGTAAATAGAGATAACCCCCTATTCTATTGTAGACATTCTACTGTGTGAAATTTACTATTCACAGAGGCATTAATTGAATCTTCAACAATATAGGCATCATTAGAAATTAAACTTCTAAGTCAAATACTTTTTGCAACCTATATGGAAATGTAGATGGAGAGAGCACGTCTACTGTTGCCTATACTGTCCTAGCAATGAAGAAACCATGATACTTAGTAGTGTCCACAAGAAAGATCGGTTTCTGTTCAAATTATGAGGATGCATAGCCTTTTAGTTAGGTTCACAAAAAAGTACTCTACATAGCCTTAAGAATAAAATCTTGTGAATAAAATGCGGTTGGCATTTTAGTTAGGTTCTCTTTTCTGTTCTAAAAGTCCCGACAAATCTTGTGAACTAAAATCTTATTGGCATAGTTAGGTTGAATGAATGCGACCTTCATCACATCTTTGGAACACATTAGTAACCTTATTGCTCTTCCTATTGTCCTAGCCCTAATTTCATTTGGTTATTTTCCTTTCCTTGTTACTTGATTTTTATCCTTAAACTCTCATTATTTGCATGTCTTCATTCTTGTGTGTGAAATCATCTCTTTCCTCAACCCTTCACAATTAGTACAAATTTAGGAAATAGCCTCCTCGTGGGATCGATCCTTACTTGCACGAGACTATGTCTACAGTTTAGAATAAAATGTCCGCCGCATTCCAATCTTGTGAACTAAAAGTCCCTTGTCAAGTGATGATAAGATCGGTTTCTAAAAGTCCCCTTATGCTTATAAACCGATCATTTTATATCATTTCAACAGAGAGGATGATGCAATTTTTCCTTTTTTGTTTTCGTTTGTCTGTTTTCTTCCGGACCAAATTTCTTATTTACATTTTTTACTTCCTCAACTATTTATTTTAGTTTATTCATTACTTTTTTTTATTGTAACTATGATGAAAAAAGCTTTAACGTTAAGTCAGGTTTACTTTTTTGCAATAGCAATGCCCGTGTTGAATCAGGAAAGTGTAGTAGTATAGTCATCGACTTTTATCAAAAAATTTCTTTCTTTATATAAAACATCCGTACATAAAATTTTCCCAGCTCAAACCCTAATTAATTATTCACTTACAAACCACACATTGTTTTCTCTTCTTTATGGTTAGTTATCTTGTTGCAAGAATCATAAAAAATGGGGTCATTGTATGATCCCAGAATGCCCGTAACAATTGTATTCAACAAATGTTACGCTAAATCATTACCTCTCTAAATAATATGTGTTGTAGCTCATTTACTTTCCTATTTCTCATCATGCTCTATGATTGTTGATTACACCTGGCAATTTCCTGATTGTTTGAACTGAGGATAGTTGCAGAATAGAGATAAAACTAGTCTTTTGGCATATGAAGCAGAACAGTTATTCTTGTTGAGAGATTTTCACATCCGAAACAAACTTAACCGGATTGAATCAGGAAAGTGTATCCAAAAGTCGATGACGCAACAAACTTAACCGGATTGTGCTTTGTAAACAAACTTAAATTAATAGTAGTACCATTTAATAGTATAGTCTACAACACATGTAATTAAACGTTTTATGTTGTTGTTATTCTCTTTTTCACCATAGTAACAAAAAATTACTTGGGTTTTTCGCTCTATGGCGTCTTAACGGCTACACAACACTAGAGTGCTAGACTATACTACTACACTATAGTTATTCATTACTTTGTAAACAAACTTAACCGGATCCGAAACAAACTTAACAGGATTGAAGCAGAACAGTTATTCTTGTTGAGAGATTTTCTCATTTGCTTTTACGACGTAAAAGTCGATGACGCAATTTTTCCTTTTTTTGTTTTCGTTTGTCTATTTTCTTCC